GATCCATTTCAAGACTTAGTCTACATTGACACATAGCAGTGATAGTAAGACAATTTTATGTTTAGATTGATTTTGAATTTTCATATTTTGTTTTCCCAATAACTCAATGATCTTCTTTTTAATCACCAAGCTTCACAGGTTCAAATACAATGAAACATAATGTTTATATAATAACTGAATCATCATAACCGATGAAATCGAGGTAAGATGATTTTGTTTTCACACTCTTATATACCTTGTCACAGTTGTTTGAAAAATTCTCCATTAGCAAAAATAATTTTCTTAACATTGACAACAACGACAATCGTCATTAGTATGTGATATAAAAACTGGTTCGATTATGAATTCGCTTTTAATGAAAGTTCATCTACAGATGATGAAAAACCAGAGTTGACACCGATTCGGTTTCGAATAAAATCGCACCAAATCCATTTCGTTTCGGCTCGGTTTGCACTTTTTAAAAATCGGGTCAGCTGGATTACAAAAAAAAAGTACGAATCGATCCCATCTCTGTGAAGAACCACATGACGAAGTAATTGAATACATGAAGAGGAAAATGAACTATTAAAAAGGTGAATACGTACTATCGTGTTGGAAAAAGCATTCATGCATGTATCCACAAGTATAACGTTTGGCACCAATACCGGGTTTCATTCCAGCTTCATCAACAAGAAGCAAACATATATTTAGTGAAGTTGAATGAATTTTAGAAATAGAAACTCACCAAGTGAATCCTGAATCACTTGCCTTTTTGTGACATTTAAGATGATCTGTTGTCTTTTGTTGCTGTTTATGGAAGAAACTAAATATTAGACTTTTTTATATAAAGTAAAAGTTTGAAAGCTATACCATCACAATGAAAATATCTGCTAAATGTCGATTAGTTTCTGTCCAGATTCACATGCAAAAAATCATATCCGGAGAGGACAATAAGTCAAATATGTTCACTGATAATTCATTGTATAGAAGAAACAACAAAATGAAATAAAGTCATCAACACAATAGAAGACTAGACAATACATCGTTAGTAAACGAGTTTGTTTCACTTATTCCATATGCATAGAATGAGAAAGAAACAAGCAGTGTATCTTGTGCAAAAAGGGAGACAATCGTTGATGTAAAGAGTATTTCTGGAACAATACAGTCAACGTTTCCTAACATCCTAGTACAATGTCCAATAGGATTCCTTTTTCATCCACACCCAACACCCACACCCACAGTAAAATGTATTATTAGCATACTTATTAGTCCCGAGCTATCTTGAATGAATAAGGTTGTCTGCGAAGAAACAGTTTATATAAAAACAACAGTTGAATACACATTCAGTGTTTCTGTTTTGTTTGTTTTCGAACAATCCCTCTAGATCTTTTTACGAAAAGAAATATATTCACAGACTCAGAAATATTTCATAGAACAAATCTCGATATGGATACCTGAAGGTATAGTTTCTTCAGTTATGAATGTGTTATCTTGTGATAAAAATGTTTTTGAATTTCTAGGGATGTGCACGGCGTCTATAATGATTTATGACTATGGGAATGTTTTTTTTCGAATAAAGAATCTAGAGAATTTTTTCAGAGCATGCTGGAAAAGTGCACTGAAGTGATTGCACAATATTTTTTCAACAAAGAAATGCATTTAGGATAGATTGGTCTTTCCTATTAGCTGTTTCTCAAGATTTTTCTAACTCAGAACTAACACGTCACTATGATGATGGAAACAAAATATTGTCCATACTGAACTTAGATATTATTATGGACATAAATACTAAAAATTATCAATAAGTGGCAGAAACTTTGAAAAATTGATGTTTAGATAGGATCTTTTGATTCATTGATCTAAAGGGAGTCTTTGACTGTGTCGATGAGTTTAATTACTTATCTTTTTTTTTTTATTAAAGATGACTCAATGTTTCCTGATCTTCTTACTCAATAAATCGCACATCTTCAAGTCAATATTCACCGTAAATTATCAGACATATATAACAAGGTAACTATAATTTTAATCATTGTATTTTGCGAGAAAAAAATATACTAAAAATAAATAGATAGACATACTTTATTTATTTTTCTTTATAGAAAAAAACTGCCAAAATTAAAAATGTTTTTTGTGAAATTCCTTCATTAAACATTTGTTTATGATAGATCAATTATTCTATTACTTCGTCGAATGATAAATCTTGAAGAATTGATTTTATATCTGTCAACAAAAAGAATTTATTTGACTTTTATTAATCTTGTTTGTTAAATCTCTACATCGATAATGAATTACTCACAATGGTAACAAATCATTTTACCAATAATACAATAAGTTTTAGTTTAGTTCAATTGAACAGACAAGATCTACCTGAACTGTTTGATTGTCGAGAAAATTTTCATTAATATTTTCCTTTACTATCAACATAACCTTTTTTTTAAAATTCTTTCAATAAATAGAAGTAGTTCGAGAAATTTAAATATATTATTTCGATTATATTGATCAACTATTAATATAACAACAAAAGCAAATATTTTTCATCTATGATATATGCTGCAATAAAGAACAAAGACACACATATAGTTAAATAACTTGTATTTTTCGGAAAAAACGAACAAATAATGTTTTATTGAGAAAAAAAGAATTTATACCAAAGAAGAGAAAGGAAAAATGATTATGTTCTTCTTCTTTCTTCAAAGAAGAATATCGAAAAAATTTTCCTTAAGGGGACCCCCCCCCCCTTTCCGGCGTTTCTAAGAAACGGCCTAACGAAAATTCCTGAAACTTTCAGGGTAGATAGACCTCGAGTAGTAGAGCAAAAGTTGTCACAGACACAAATTTGCCAGACGTCATCTTCATGGACTTCCAGAGACCCCAAGGTCAAAAATTTGCAAAAAGTTCCCCCCCCCCCCCGCAACTCCACAGATTTCATCCGTTTGAGCTGAAATTTTTACTGTGGGTCGACGGTCCCAATCGGGGTGGACGTTTTTTTTTTTTCAAAAATTCCAAATACTTCAGGCTGGAGAACCAAAATACTGAGCACTTCGCAAAATCCCTAGGTTTTTTGGATTCTAAAAATTTTGCGAAGCCTGCCAAACTTGATTGGTAGAAGGTATTCAAAAAAAAAGAAAGACGTCCAACCCAAATCACTTGAAGTCTCACCAAAAAAATTTTCAGTCCGATCGGACTTGAAATAGCGGAGAAAAGGGGGGCAAAACTGGTTTTTGATACCCAAAAAACTGATTTTGAGAAAAACGCAAAAAAATTTGTGATTTTTGGTTTTTTCAGCATATTTTGTGATTTTTTTCGAGTTTTTTTATATATAAGATGTTGGTTTTCAGTTCTCAAAGTGTGCTCAACGGATAGAGGGCATTTAAATCTATACACTGATCACAAAAAATGAAAAACGAAAAATGTGAAAATTTTGAGTCGGGAAAGGGGGGGTCCCCTTAATGTTTAATCAAATAAATCGAAAAGTAACATATAAAAAAAAAATCATGCTTTATTTTTCAATTTTTTATTTTATTTTATACAACAAACGAAGAACTGACTATTGATAACATAGATATATCGATACTTTTTCAGTAACTTCGAAATAAAATGATCATTGAATATTGAGTGAAAATGATTCTTTTAATATTAAAATATGTGTACCAATACTGATATTGAACAAATATTGATACAAATGGATATGAAAAATTCTTGGCATTTTGAATTTTAAATTAAAATACATATGTAGATTTATTTCGTCTATTTAAGAATTTACTTTTTCTTTTTCTCGAAAAAACTGATACTTGAAATGAGTATCATAAAAAAATTACTTCATGATAAAAATATGGTGTCTAGTTGTTATTTGATTTCTATAAATATAACAACAAGTCAAAATTTTATTAACCTCTTTTCTATTTTATATCATTAACTTTTTGTCGTACTCCATAGACCGAAAAAAGTGGATAATTATGAAACATAGTTTACAAAAAAAATGGTATCCTTTTTCCTTATGAAGTATTTTTAAAATTAAACATTGATATTCATCTCGACATTCTGCGCATCAGAAAAAAAACATTCGACAAATTTTCATCTCACAGATAAGAAAATTAAAGTTTCAAATAATATATTTATATTTGATATTTTTTTTCTTTTTCTTTCGTTCAATCATCACTTGTTTGATACAATATCGAGCGCACGACATATGAGTTGTTCTCACACATTCGAGATAAAAATTTAAACGACATGAACATGAAATGTTTAAAGACGAAAAAGATATCGTGCACTCAATATCACAGCATGCATCAAAACAACCGGTTGTTATCATACACTGGGTATTACAATTCCGTCGACGTTGTCTTTTATCGCGTCTCTCTGTTTTTATACCTTTCTCTTCTTTTCTTTCTGCTTCTTCTCGTTCTTCGTAACAGAAGAACAAAAAAAACAATTTTAACTAACGAAGCTTTCGAGGGTGGCTCTAAAATAATTGAACCTTCCAAGGGATATCCGACGTTCTGTTGGTGACCCGTACAGGCGTGCATATGGTAGGCCTTCATAGCAAACATTTATGTATGTATGACTAGATGCGTCCATCTTGTCATCATCTTTTCGAAGATGTTGACTATGGAGGTACCAGTCATACATAAATGTATGTTTGCGTAACTATTGCCGGCTTTGTCCACTGTACGAGCCAGCAGAATACGGAGGATATTCTTGGTCGCGCGTGCGCGAAATTTTGCAACTGCCTCGCTTTGGCGAGCCAAGAGTTCAAGATGGCTACTTTATTTTCTCTTTTTAAAAGAAAAAAAAACTACATTTTCTTTTTGACATTGTCAATGTTTCTTTTCACAAGGGCAATATGTGGATGATTTTAAGGTAGTGATTTTTTCTAGATTTCTTTGGCTTTTTCGTAATACTGAAGTGCTTTCGAGTACTCGTCCATGTCACAATACACCCCTCCGATCTTGTTGTAGGAAACAGCCAAGTCGGGATGATTCGGAGGGAGAGCTATTTTTCGGATTTCAAGTGATCGTTCATAGGATGAAAGTGCTTTCGAGTACTCGCCCATGTGAGAATACACCATACCGATGTTGTTGTAGGAATTAGCCAAGTCGGGATGATTCGGAGGCAGAGCTTTTTCTCTTATTTTAAGTAGTTTTTCGTAAAATTCAAGTGCTTTCGAGTAGTCACCCATGTCATCATACACTCCGGCGATGTTGTTGTAGGACATAGCCAAATCGGGATGATTCGGAGACAGAGTTTTTTCATAGATTTGATGTTCTTTTTCGTAAAATTCAACTGCTTTTGAGTAGTCACCCATGTCGTAATACACTGCACCGATGTTGTTGTAGGAAGTAGCCAAATCGGGATGATTCGGAGGCAGAACTTTTTCTCTTATTTTAAGTAGTTTTTCGTAAAATTCAAGTGATTTCGAGTAGTCACCCATGTTGGTATACACCAAAGCGATGTCGTTGTAGGAAATAGCCAAATCGGGATGATTCGGAGGCAGAGCTTTTTCTCTTATTTTAAGTTCTTTTTCGTAAAATTCAAGTGCTTTCGAGTAGTCATCCATGTTGGTATACACCAAAGCGATGTCGTTGTAGGAAATAGCCAAATCGGGATGATTCGGAGGCAGAGCTTTTTCTCTTATTTTAAGAGTTTTTTCTCTTATTTTAAGTTCTTTTTCGTAAAATTCAAGTGATTTCGAGCGGTCACCCATGTCGCGATACACCGAACCGATGTCGTTGTAGGAAATAGCCAAATCGGGATGATTCGGAGGCAGAGCTTTTTCTCTTATTTTAAGAGCTTTTTCTCTTATTTTAAGTTCTTTTTCGTAAAATTCAAGTGATTCCGAGCGGTCACCCATGTCGCGATACACCGAACCGATGTCGTTGTAGGAAGTCGCCAATAAGGGATGATTCGAAGGCAGAGCTTTTTCTCTTATTTTAAGTGATTTTTCGCGAAATTCAAGTGATTTCGAGTAGTCACCCATGTGCTGATACAGCGAACCGATGTCGTTGTAGGAAATAGCCAAATCGGGATGATTCGGAGGCAGATCTTTTTCTCTTATTTTAAGTGATTTTTCATAAAATTCAAGTGCTTTCGAGTAGTCACGCATGTTGTGATACGCTGTAGCGACGTTGTTGTAGGATAGAGCCAAATCGGGATGATTCGAAGGCAGAGCTTTTTCTCCTATTTTAAGGGCTTTTTCGTAAAATTCAAGTGCTTTCGAGTAGTCACCCATATTGTTATACGTTGCACCGATGTTGTTGTAGGAAGTAGCCAATTTGAGATGATTCGGAGGGAGAGTTTTTTCTAAGATAGCGAGTGATTTTTCGTAAAAGTCGATGGCTACATTATATGGTTTTTGGTTTTCTTTCATGAGCCCAAGGTGGTGATAACAATATGCTTTATTATTGTCATCATCGGGTGCTTGTTCGAGTAACATCGTAAAAACTTGTTCTGCTTTATCATTCTCACCCATTTTCCATAACAATAAACCCATTCGTTGCCAATCAGTACCAGTGATCTCCATCCGTATTTGTTTTGTAAGCGCACTCAACTGTTCATCGACACCGTCACTAGTAAGTGTAAGTTTGACTTGCCATATCTTCATTTCTTTCTCTTGGATTTCTTTGATTTGTTGAATCCGAAATATAGTGTGCGTTGAAAGGAGAATTTCTTTTTCGTCTGGAAATTTGCTGAATTTAGCGATGCGAGCATATGGAACCGATTTTATTGATGGATCAATTGTAATGATAAAGAGTACACCAATTTTAGTGTTGTCACTTCGAAGTTTTCTGCGAATGAAATCAGCGGCAACATATCTTTCTTCACTTGTTGATAAGAAGTTATTATAAGACATGAGCTTGTCTTGTTGAATTTTGATTTCGAAGTCTTGTTGTGTCATAGTTTGACCACGGTAAACTATACTTGGAAATGGTTTATCCTTGCCATTCAATTGTTCGTCGTGAAGTTGTTGAATATTTTGATGAAGATCACGCATGAAGAAACCTGTTTTGAGCAAAGTATTAACGTCTAGATTACCTAGTGCTTTGTTGAGCATTTTGTATGTGAAACATTCGGCAGTATACCATCGAACAGGATTGTTGTTGATGTTACCGTGATATTTTTGGGCGAATTCGTTGATGAGTTCTAGTTCTTTTTTGTTATTAGCATACACCTTTTGTTGACAAGCATAATCAGCAAGTTCTGGAATTGTTTTCTTTTCGTCAAAATCAATTTCAAGTACAATTTCTTTGAAAAATGTTGTATACATAAATGATGATTCTAATTCACCAGTAATTCCAACAGTATCATCATCGCATTCTCGAGCTGATTGCTGAACGGAAGCGCAAATCGAGTCAATTTCCGTGAAAATACCTCTTACTTTCGGCCATTCTTTCGTTTCCCATTGTTCGTATTTTGATTTTTTGCGACAAAATATATAAACTGCATGAATTTGAGACATGCCGTGAACACGCGGTACCACATTTTCAGTAAGAGCTCCGGATACAATAAGAAAAGCTTTTTGATTTTTGAAACTTGAAATATATTTAAGGCATTCATCGACATCACGAAATTTCTCAATGCCATCGACTGTTAGTTGCAATTGCTTAATTGAATTGCGAAAATCTTCATTTGACTCGTCCAGTTTACTATCGAGCCAAACTAGAAGAAAATTTTGTACAAGATCTTGCTCTTGTACACGTTGCTGACCTTTTTCACCATTCATGATGGAGTCTTGAGAATGGTGAGGATGTACAGGTGAATTAGCAGGAATAGTAGAATTTACAACAGATTTATCTGTTGTTACTGATGCACTGCAACCCATTGTATGCACAGTAAAATGAAAATGAATGAATGAATAAAAGCTCTTAAGTATTAAAAAAATGAATATGTACTTTGACGAACGATTTTTTTTTCAGTTATGATTGAAATATTGTTTTTTTTTGGTTGCCAATCAATAAGATTGCCTCTATTGTTTCTAACATTCTCTTGTTTATGTTTCTACGTACAATCAATTTGTTTGATTGTATTAAATCAATAAGGATCCTATCGAACGAAAAAAAAAGCTACCGTTCTCTGTCTGTTTTAATGAAATACTTCCATAGTTTCTTTCTTATCTTTGTTCTTTCGTTCTGTACGCACATAATCAAACTGTTCTTCGATCAGACAATCTATTTTAGTCATAGAATGGCAAAAAAAGTAAAGTTATTTGCTAGTGTAACAATTTTGAAAAAATAGCTATTTCATGACTTTTCAAAGATCATAATAATTAAACACTCCTAATGTCAACCATTCTAATGAAGAAGAATAGTTACAGTTGTAAATAAGATGTGTCGTTCGCTCAGTCTAATAAATATAAGTACTAGTATATGTTAAAGGAAGATGATGTGTGTCCTGTGCTTCTAATTAATGATTATAGATTACAACCATGAACGAACTCATTTTCGAGATATAAAAAAACAATTTGTTGGCCTTCTTAGTTAGATAGTGATTGTTATTCTTTTATTTGTTGATAATCATTTGTTTTTTTTGGTCGATTGTCATTAGGAATATACTTTGTTTTCTAGTGAGCGAACGATTTTTCATTGTTTATTTTAAGTGTACTCGTGAAGCGAGCGCGTCTGCATCAAAGAACAGCAACGAACGAAATAGATACATGGTCATCGAAAGAATAATAATAGTAAGATGATGGTGAAAAAGAAACGAAAAAAAAATACTGATAGAATGAATGCTGCTGTTGTCATTGTTGCCAAGGTTTTTTCCAACATCGTCGTAGACATGAGCAGCAAAGAAGACCACGTGTTTTGAAATCAATCGATAAGATTTGAAAAATATGTATATTTACATTTATTCTCGAGATTTTGTCATGAACTTTGAATAATGAACAAAAATAAATCAAATTTTTAAACGTTTTCAACAAAGATTATCTAATTGCAATACAATATTGACTCTACGATAAGCGACATTCTTGCATTTCTAATTTGCTTATTATTGATTAATTGATAAATGTCAAATAATTAACTTTCAATATTAGCCATTCTATATTATAGTCTTTTGGAAAGTGAATAAAAGCATCTATTTATGTTGGGTGTGGCTATGGGTGTGGGTGGGTGTGGGGTGTGCGTGGGTGTGTGTGGATGTGGGTGTGGGTGTATGGATGTGGGTAAAGAGTGAAATCACACCCACACCCACACCCACACCCCACACCCACCCACACCCACACCCACACCCACCCCACACCCCACCCACACCCACACCCACACCCACGCCCCACACCCACACCCACGCCCACGCCCACACCCACACCCACCCACGCCCACGCCCACACCCACACCCACCCACACCCACACCCAATGAACCACACGCATCGATATTCATTTGTATATAATATGAAACTGTCGTCATCGTTGAACAACAGATAATGATAGACTTCCTTTAGCGTCAGGCGAAGAGATGAAACTTACATTGATATGAAGTTGCAACAAGTTTTCAGTAAGATAATATGAAAATTAATAATTATCAACATACGGTGTAGGTGTGGGTGGGTGTAGATATGGGTGTGAGTCTGGATCTGGGTATTTCTATCATTCAGACCCACGCCCACGCCCACACCCACCCACACACTCACAACCACACCCACACCCAGCTTAGCTCGAGTAGAAAAAAGGCGGCTGATTGCGCAATGCCCGATGATCTCTAAATCCGATCGTAAACGACATCTGGTAATTCTAAAGTTAAGGCTCGCATGGAGGAAATCATAATGAATTTCAATTGCGTTCAGCTATCTTCGTTCAGATGGCAAGTGAGAGATAATGAATCTGAATCATATATGTCCATATAAGGAAGCTCTCAGCTGTTCATTATCGTTCTTTGTATCTCATGTGTATAAACCATGCAGAGATTTTTCTAAACGTTTAGACTCCTTCATCGATGAATTTAAGTTATACAATATGATAATTAAAATATATATGCACATGAGATCTGAATAATGAATGGTCTTTTAAAACTGAGTCATGTATAACCATATAAGGAAACTATCAGCTGTTAATTATCATTTGTGATATTATTTATATCTCCCGAACGCCGTCGAATTTCGAAAAACAGATTTCAGATGTGCACTCGTCACGTTCTCACGATCTCGCCAAGGTTTTTTTCGACTGAAAATGATACTCAGGAGCTGAGAACGAGTGGCTGACTTGAACCGTGACTCATGCGTCGAGAACAAGGAGAAGAAGAAGAAGAAGAAGAATTTGCCATGGCAACTAAGCGAGTGAAAAGCAACAAGTCGGCTACTGCACTTCGTGCAGTCAGCCACCTTAAATAAGAGAAAAAGAAAGGAAAAATGAAAAGAAAAGCGCACATGGATGATAATATCATTCGATTGTGATAGTTAAGTTTTACGTCAGAACATTTTTTATCAAAGTTTTATTATTAGGTTGCTAGTTGAATATTGATCAAATACCATAGAAAAATAGAGCGTCATTTTCTCTATCACTTGATAAAAAAGAAATTTTTTTTTGAAGCTAACATTGGAAAAATCGTCTGCGTCCGCCACAACTTTTGGATTGCCCTAAGTATTATTCTTCATTTGATATAGGCGTTGGTTTCAGTGGTAACAGTGCCACCCGTCTATCGCTTCCAGTTTGCGATGAAATTCGATCAATATCACAATCTTTACGTTGTTGATACTGCGAATAACAGAATTCAATGTTTTGATTTACTTACCAATGGTTGTTGATTGAACGTTGAAAATAAAGAATTGAAATGCTTTGCTTTTGTCTAAATATTCTTCAATATATTATTCTTGTTTGTGATAAAATGCCTTCACTATATTTCTCATTTGCTTTTTCAAATAATTGCTTGATATAATCTCTATGCTTGGAAGTGCAAAAAAAACATATCTTCATTCCACTTAGTGCGTGCATAATCTACAAATAAACTCTTTCAATTAAGAAAGAAAACAGTTGCCATCGACATTTTAAGATGTCGGACAATATTTTTGACCTGCCCATCTGAATAAACATTTATTTTATTTTGTTTTCTCATGGAAAAAACCTGATGAACAAGAAAACTAAAATGAAAAGTTAGATGTTTAAGTTTGACACCGTGGATTGCGACGATGCTTCTGCCTCTTCCTTGTCAAAAAAGTCAGTAATAGTTTTGCAAAATCGTGCCATGGGATGATCAGCAGGTAATTCCAAAAGAGCCTTTCGACAAAATCTTCTGTAGAGTTCTCGACGAATCATCACCATTCTTTGGAGAGCTGCACGATCAACAGTAACTCGATCACCATCTGATTTATATCCTTCGAGAAGCCACGTCGTAAAGAGCGTTGAGTTTGCTTGTGGCACCGGTGATCGATCAATAGGCGAACCATGTTGTTCGAGTGAGATAACACCTCTAACAGGTGCAGATAAATCATAGAGAAACCATGATTGTTGTAGTTGATCCCAGTCGAACATACATGGCATTCCAATAGTCGAGTCCCAATAGTAATTGCTCGGGTTGACATCACCGTGAATTAATCCAAAGTGCGCAGGATCTGATGCTGTTTTCATATCATTTTCGTCGACTGGTACTTCGGCGAGAATTCCATCATGGAGGGTGGTCCAGTGGCGAGCACGAGCGACGAGTACTGGTTGTTCTTGGACGAAACGGCGCGTAAGTTGATGTAGACGAGCGAACCACCGACCGAGACCAACGACCATTTCTCGATTCGTCATCCATTTCCAATCTGTATAGACTACAGGTTCCCCTGTTGCAAAGGTAGACAAACAGAGGATCAACGAGCCATTACGAACGACGGCAGAAGAGGTGATAGAGCTTCTGACGGGTCGACATACGGGAAGTTTGTTTTCGTAGAGATATTCCAAGAGAATGACCTCCAATTCAGTAGTATCGAATCGCTGGTTGTTTGGATCGGGTGTAACACGTAAAACAAAACGTTCTGTTGCGTCTTTGTTGGCAAGGAAAGTGTGATTTTGTGAAGTTTTGAGACATTCTCCCAGTTCGACGCCCCAATGTTTATGAGCAAGTTGACGAACTTGATCAGTATCAATGGGAATAGTTTCAAAAAGAGGCATCTTTTATCTGAAAAAAAAGAAGCATGAAACCACTATTTAGAGAATGGTTTGATAAGACATAGTGATGATAAAACGTCATGTATATTTATCATAGAAGACATGCATTTTTAGAGAGAAGAGCGCACTAGTGGATTATAATGACATTATACAGATAAAAGAAAACATAGATCTAATCCTAACGATGACATTTGAAAAAGAAAAGAGAGGACCAACTAGTCCTCAAAAATATTCTCTTTTTCACTATTTACCGAAGCATAGAAAAGATCAATGACATTTCTCGATCAGTTTCCATAAAAAAATTTCGATTTCAGTCAGAGTGACACAGTTCCTATCAAGTCGATTGTGAAACGTCCGCTAAAAGATCTTACTTAATAAGTCGGTTACTTTGCGTTTTCAATCTCTTCAGTGGTTCCCATGTATTCACAGTATTTTTATATGTGAAAAATTGAGTAAGACGAGCTGATTATCTGTCAGAATTTCGAAATTTCAAGGGTCTGTTGTTCGTAAATAAGGATTGTTTTAAGAAGAAAAGAAAAGAAAAGAGAAAGAACGAATGATAAATTGCCGTATACACGGGTACCTAAAGATGTCGTTCCTATACGAAAGATAGATTATACTGCCAGGGTGTGGATGTGGGTAATAATAAATGGTCGAATTTCAGACCGAAAGCCGAAGCGACCGAAAGAAGCTGATTGGTGACTAATTAAATATATATGATATACATTTATTTTAAAAGATGGCGTCTTCTTATTGCGTGCATCTTATTCATAAAATCCAAGACAATAGTTAAATAATTATAAATTTGATACCTAAACTAATACGTATGTTTGAGAAGAAATTGTAATTCAAAAAAATCAAAAATTTTCTGAATAGTAATAGTAAAACTTAAAATTTTAGAATTCAAATTTAAGATTTGCACGAAAAAATTATTTTTTGTGCAACGTAAATATTTACCGTTCTAAATTAAAATTTAGTCGAAGTTTTTCACAGTAATGGAAATATTAGAATTCATTTTTTGTTATTCTCGATGAATGAGTGAGAAAATCTATTTCCTTAGATGAGTCGACAAAACCCAACGGGATAAGTCGACATATCCTCTGACCAGTTTTTCGTTGAGAAACAAACTGAAAATTCTCTTCTTTAGATGAGTCGACTTATCCTTTAGAGTTAAGTCGACATATCTAATGAGTACAGTTTATTATGGATGAACAAATCGGAAAATCTGCTTCCTTAGATGACTCGACTTATCCTATTGAGATAAGTCGACATATCTAATGACCAAATTTTATCGTTAACAAATAAACCCCCTCCCCCCCTATAATGAAAGACCCAGGGTCTTCTATTATGTTTAAGCGGAAAAATTTTTTAGGGGAGTCTTCTATTATGACTCTCGTATTTTTGCGATTTTTGCAAAACTCACGAGTATTTTTGAAGAACTTAGTAAATGCAAGTTTAAGTTCAATCTTTACGGCGCCTCAGTTCCTATCATAGTGACCAAATGCTGGGAAAAACATCACTATGTATTTCCACAGCAACAAACAATAGGGAGTAATTAATATCAGCGCCTATCTTATTTTAAAATTCTGTAATTTCTAGTTTCTGTTCTAAATATTATGTTTTTAAGCTTTGTATAGTTCATATATGTTTCCGAAGGGTTAACCTGAATTTAGTCGAAAAATAAAAATGTCGAAAACAAAAATATCGAAACAGAAATAAGGGTGGAAGGCGAGAGCATAAGAGTGAGGGTGAGGGCGAAGGAGATCTCCACTTCCATTTACTTTCATTTTCTACATTTCTACCTTTCGACATATGTGTTATTATGGTTTTCGACATTTTTTATTTTCGACATTTTCCCTTTCGACATTTTGACTTTCGGTATTATTCAGGTGAATCTTCCGAAGAAACTAATACTGACCGTAAATTTGAGTCAAGGTTTTTCCGCCCGTTCTCTCTTCTCCGTTACATGTCCCAATAATCACTTATATTTAAAAAGTTGTGGAAATTTCTAGAATCTTTTGCTTTTCAATAGTTCGAATATTTTTATGAACATTCGTAAAAAGGTAGCCTTCATTCTTTGTCCAGAGAAAAGTTTATACGATTCATGTGAAAGATAATCTTTTATGATTTTTCATAACGGTAGTATAAGTTACATAAAAACGTGATCAAACTACTTTCTAACTTTTACAAATATTTATTTTGTGTCTTACTCAGTACATTAATATGCATACAAAATTGTTAGGATCGAACGAAGATACAACCGATGTCTATACTAAGCTTATTTAATTATTAAATAAAATCTTGAATCGAATAACACGAAATAATAATAATCTCGATTAACAGAAGAATAATACAGCAAATAGCAACAAGAAAAAAAGCACGCATTAGAAAAAAAATGTTTGAAATGTATGAATAGAAACTGCTATAAATTAATCATTATGATCAATGTTTATTTAGAAACTTAACATTCTACGTCGGTTATATTAATATTATTAATATATTCAGAAAATCTGATAAATGGAGTGAAGGAAGAGGTAGTAATTCAGAATGAAATAGTTTCGTTGGGATAAAGTTTTAGAGCGTATGCTTTAACTCAAACCATAGAATTGGTTGTAATGTATCCATTTATTTGATATCTTTTTAAAATAAACTTTTCCACTAGTTTTTGAGAATATAATATAAAGGATGTGTTGCAGTAAGGCCATTTTTTTGCCCACGATTTTTTTTACTTTTATCTACCTGAGAGTATCAGGGAGTTACTAGAAATGTTTCCTACGACTTAGTTTTGCGCCATATCAAAGTTCGATTTTTGCCCCCCTGGGGTACCCCTCAGGATCCGAAAAAAAGTTTTTTCCTCAAATATCCCTAAAAGCATATCATTTCTATGCAATTTTGCGCGCTGATTACGAATATCATATTTATATTTCGATTGGGTTGAGTTTTGTAGATGAAAAAAGCATTTTACCGCTACATGGATTATAGAGCGATTTTGTCATGTTTTAGCCTATGTATATATGAAAATATTATTTTTTTTCTTTCTAAAATATGTCAAAATGTGCAAAAATGTTTGTTCTATTTCTTCCAAATCGATTCGGTTTTAAAAACAATCGATAAGCAATCGAAACATGTTATACAATTACAGATATCCCATAAAAAGGAACGATTCATCCTTTTGTGTAGCCTTTTACCGCCACAAAATGGTCGAGTGTCAAACAGCCATATATACAGTTCGATGCAGTTTTTCATTCTCTATCCGAATGTCGCCTCAGAATTAACAAAAAAAATGTACTATACCATCAAAATTGCGAAATAGTACCAACAAATGCCGAACAATTGCATTATCCGCTCATATTTAGCCGATTTTGTGACAAAAGGTCAATTTTCAGCCGAAACAAATGTCATATTTAAAATCAGCATAAAAAACTGAGTCGATCCATGTGTATATCTCAAAATGTTTTGAAAAATTTTGTTTTTCTCGAAAAAATTCATCCCGGGTCCCCCTCAGGGATGCGTCAAAAATAAAGGACGGGGGACGTTTTCCTGGGATTTTGGCCCACTGTAAAAATAAAGGTTGTTCCGAGTGAAACTTTCAGCAAATACTCAGCTATATACCAGTAGCCACCACACAAAATTTCAACTTGATCCGTTGAACTTTTCCTTTACTTTCGCCACACCCTAAATGTACATATAAATACCCTTTAAGGGTTACCTTGTGGACCCTCGTTCTCGACTATACGATTCAGAACTGGAGTGATTTTTCTAGGATCACTAGGAATAAGTGAGGGCTACAATACTGCAAAGACATGAGATCCCGAAAAAAACTGTCTTTGTATCCATTTGAAGTACACAGTGCCAAAAATTCTTGAAA